ACATTCACAACAAGAAAGCGTGGCAATTGCCTGAGTTTCATTATAGTCACATTTCAGCGAGCGTTGTGGGTAACGTCATTTTCACTCGTAATTTTCGTCGTTAACGTCGTGAAATGTAGAAAAATGCCTTCCTGGGTGTTTAAACAATGCACAAATTACACATCGACAACGAGAAAAGCAAAAGAGATATCATTTCGTGAGTAAGTACTGTACTTACTTTAAATAAAAATAATAAAATATCATTAAATGCGGCCTTTTTTCTTGCATCGTGTTCAAGGGGATAGACCAAGGGGAGATTGCAGTTGGCACGTAAAGCTAAGCAAGTATCTTTATCTCGGTCTCACATTATTTATTTTATCATCTTAGTAATAAACTTCAGTTCCAATGAGTTACCTTGTTAAGACAAGCACAGATCGTGTGGTCGATATGAGCTTCCCACATTCTGACTACATCTTCGAGTTGTGCATTTAGTACAGGGTCATCGAACTCCACGTGTCCTTTACCCGCAGGTTCTTCCATTAGAGCAGGAATGTTTGGCATCGGCAGATGTATCTCTCCTTCAATGTGCTCTATCGTCCTAATAATGTATTTATATTAAAGTTATGATAGCGAATTCTAATAACATCGAAATTTTAATCATATAATTGATTCCTAATGCTGTTTATAAACGGAATTTCCGGGCATTCCTCTGGATGTTTATTTTAAGTTAAATAAATAGTAAGCAAACGGATTTTTGAACTATCAATACTATATTTATGAATAACCTGTTACTTTTTTTCTACTTGCCTTGCTGTTTTTTTTTTCTATCCCTAACTTGAAACATTTATATAGGAAGTCCTTAAAACATGTTTTCAAAGATTTACTATAAAACCATTTTGTCTGCATGATACAAATGATTGTGTAGAAGTAACAAATTACAGGCTTCTAGAACCGTTGAATAAGTTGAATAATTAACGTCTGTGAATTCGTAAATGAAATAAATAGAAGCGTTAGCGGTTTTGACTTTTTAACTTTTAGATAATTTATATTATTTACAAATGCGTTGAGCTCGAAAATATCACGAAGAGAACAGGTAACAAATTGTTTTAAAATAAAGGTGACCTTAACGTTTTGTGATATTATATGATAGTAGCTTTTCATAAATATTCTAGTTTTAATTTCTAGTTTTAATTTCTTTGGTACCTTAGTCAGTTTCTCTTTTACAATGCCAATAATGTAATAGAGCACATCGTAAACTAACCAATTAACAATAGACACCAGTTCCTGAATGTCTGTGGTAACGTCTTCAGCAGTACTCTTCTGTTTGTCGGTCACGGACTCGACGGTTTCGAAAAATTCCTAGAAGAAATCTTCAATTAGTTTTTTCCATACAAAGTGGAATATAGAAATAAGAATAAGAACAATATAGAAATTTACCGATGTAACTCTCGACACTCTCATTCTTTCTTTAGCAGATGTCATCTCCACAACAGATTCTGAACGCATATTTTGCATCCTGTAAACATAAAACCTAAGTGATGACCATTACTTTTATATATTCTAAAAGAAAATTATCGATAATGATGTAAATCCGATCTATCTATAGTACGCATATCAGCACATTAGTTTATAATAAAATCTTAATCGGCTTACGAAATGAAATCTAAATAAAAAATTTGACAATTTAGTATAAATTTATCGACTGTCATTTGTATAGTCAACATCACGTCATTTTATACAAAACTGTATATTTCTTCTCTTGATTTTTAACCTAAATGCATTGAACGTAGAGTTTAAAATTAATTGTGGAAATTCGATTTATTGTGGTAACCTGACGTGTATACATGTCCATAAATCCAGTCGAATAATTACATATTACCGGCAAGCATTAAGGAGAACTATATTAAAAAACGGGAAATTATGCTAAAGTGACCAATTTTTTGAAGATGAAAAAACACGAGGGTCGTTTTAGTACTATTATCAATTTTTAGCTCTCAGCCATAGTTTTGTTCTATTCAAAGATCAGATAGGAATTTATTGGATACCTAATGTAGACTTTTTGAGATACATTAAAATTATTTACCAAGAGTAAGATGTCTTTTGATCATATCATATCAATACTACTCGTATTTAGATAAATATAGCGGTGCGAGTCAAGATCCTTACCTTTTTTCAGCATTTTCTCCTCGGGCTATGTTTGACATCCTACGATAATCTGATGGCCGAAGATAATTCACCTAAAACAAATTATTTGTCTATAACAGCCTCCGTCGCCAACAAGTTCAGTTTCTCAAGTTATCACTATATCATAATCCACGACAGGTTCCGAGTCTCATTTTCGGCCACGTTAATATAGAAAACAAAGTTTTATATATAGTTTCGGGCCTCTAAAACCCCTGCTTTAATACAAATGATCTAAATTGTTCCGCTTCCAATTTAACATATAAATGGTGTTGCTTAGCTTGAGTAGACGACAAATATCAATCACTGATTATTTTGCATCACTACAAAGCCATTTTTATGACGAGTGTTTTGGATTGCCTTAATCATTATTTCGTTGTAGTACCTGGTTTCTGAATTGAGTATTTAAAATTAAGCACGTATCAAACTGTAATTAAAGGTCGCTTATAAAGGTTTTCGTTTCTGATTTTAATTTTTCTTCATGATCAGTTGATAGCAGTTTGATAAAAATTAGGACTTTTGGCCTTGTGAAAAGTAAAAACTAATTATTGTAATCAGTTGCGATTTTGTATTTTTTTCAATTCAGAAACCAGTCGATAAACTTTCATAATATTATCATAGAGTGAAAGCAATAAGCTCTACCTGAGAAGCTGTCTTATCCATTTTATGATGTTTGCCAGCGAAGGAAGTTTGTCGTGAGACATCATATACATTTGTTTCATCGTTAGACACGTTCACCTCGCGGAATTGATTTTGAAACAATGGGATGAAAGCCTGAAATAGAAATGATAATACCAGGAATTTAAAATATACTATTAAGTACTAAAGGAATATGGAATAAAGGAGGAGATTGGAGATCCATCAAAAGTTTGTTAGAAGATTTATCATTAATTTCCTCTAAGACGACTTTTGAATTTCACTTCCGCTTCCAGATCATCAACGAAGACAGTTAATATTATCTTGTTTATTACCACTAGCAACCTATTTATGTTGGGACATAGACCAGAATATCAGCGTTGATTGAACACATCTTGTGTCGTACAAATTTTAAACGGAGGCAGAGTCCTGATTGACTTGTTTATGTATTGTTTTTGTATTATTGCTATTGTATAATTTTAAGTAAATAATTGTTTCTTCTTTGTCTTCTTTGCATGACGCAGTACATGGATCCATTACGGATTGGTGAGTACTAACAACTAAAAATACAGTAGGTAATGATATTTGGTTATCCTTCTAATGAATTTTCTTTGCGAAAGTGGCTTAACCTCAACCAAACGTACTTACCTTGCTAATAAAGTACATACAGTGGTAGCCATATAATTAAGAACACTCCCTTGAAAATAGTACATTTACTTAATGAAACATATAGCTTATTGCATGTATTGTTTTTTTTTTATTATTGTTATATTCTAAAATCTTTCTACATTGTTGGTACTTTCTTCTATAAATTTAAACCATGAATAAAAAAAATATAATAACGTAAAATCTAATCTAAGAATTACTTTTTACTGGCTGGTCATATATATAATTAAGAACGCAAATCATTTATTTTTTTATTCAAATTCAAACAAAGAACACTCTATGGTTATAGTGTAAAAACTATACGTATAAACACGAACGTAATTTTTCAAAATAATTATGGGAAAAAAATTAAATCTACAAGAGAGATTATATTAAAACTTTGGGAGAAGAAATGGTCTTATAAAAAAATTGTTGACCATCTATAATGTTCGAAAATAATGATCTTCAATGCTGTGAAACATTTTAAAACTTATAACAGTACTTTTAATATTTAACGCATGTCACGACGAGAAAAACATCTCTTCGAGACGACAGAAACACAATTCGTTTGGCGAAATTAAATCCTTTCAAAGGATCTAAGGGCTAAAGGAATATTTTGGCGAAGGAAACCCCTCTGCGAACTCGGCACGCGCTATTCGAGGGCGTTTAGTAGAAGAAAAGTTGTACGGCAGAATAGCAAGAAAGGTACCTATGCTAAGACAGTGCTCGCCTTTACAAAAAAAATATGAAACCTGGACATTTAAGCAGAGCCTAATGTACTGTTTTCTGACGAAACGTAAATAGAGTATACTCTGATGGAAGGCTATACGTACATCGACCCTCTAATAAGGTATTTGACCATAAGTTTACTAAGGTGACTTTAAAACATGGTGGTGGCAACCTGAAAATTTGGAGTGGTTCCTTCTTTTGGCCAATTCCATTATTGGGCCTATCAGTCTTATAGAAGGAAACATGGATCAAGTTCAATACAAAAATATATTTGAAAAATCAGTGTTACCCTATGCTGAAGACGTTCTTCCAATTATTTCGAAATTTCAGCATGATTATGATCCAAAAGAAACAGCCCAGCTTGGTAAAGGAATTTCACTCTCAATCCGTTTCCGTCTTAGACTGGCCAGCTAACAGCCCTGATTTAAACTAGCAAATCGACTGTGTGGTAATTTAAGGGAACTATACGAAGTTTTCTCGGAAGAATAGAATACTATTTATCATGAAAAATGTCAAAAAATTATAGTCAATGCCTCGTCGGTGTAAAGCAGTAATTATGAGTCGTGGACATGCGACCAAATATAAATTTTAGTTTAAAATATTATAACAATACAATCTCTCTGTGTTTTATTTTAAACATTTTACCAACAGATTAAGAGCATCGTTTCTAATTATTTGTTTAGCTTCATTATTAAATGCTATAATACTGGGCAAGTTTCATTTAAAACATTCTATAACTTCAAATCGTTCCTAATTATATGGCCACCATTGCATATCTATTTACTTATATACTAATTTAACGCACATTATATAAATAATTTGATCTGATGTTAACAAACCTCTTTCAGGCGTAATCCCAAGCTCATGAGAACTTTTCCAGTAGTCGAACCAGCGAGTATATACTTGGGCATCATCAACTTGGTGATGTCGTCATTATCAGCCAATGGTATGGCGTGTGGAGTTTGCCTCATGAAGTAGATGTATCGACGATTACGATGTGTCACTTGGGGCGTGAACGCACCAAATACCGGTATTAGTTTTGGGTATTGAATAATCCGAGGTATAGCCCTCTAAAAGTGGAATAGTAATTAAAGCTAATTGTACACTTCTTTAGCGAAATGATGGTTTTCATCTCTGTTGAAACAATGTTCAGAGCTGTAAAAGCACTCTATTGAATAATTTAAAAATTCACATAAGAAGAGATGATACTCCTGGTTGATAAATATATTAGATTTATCTAGAAGAATGTGCATACCTCGTGTGTTCATAAGTTTGGAGACGAAATAAAAGTTGCGTAACTTTTCAATAATTAACTTATATTACTAAAATTTTCAGTAACCATTAAATAAAAAATAATCAACAATAAAATATTATATTTTATTCAAAATGGCCGCCCTTGTTTTTGATATAGGCCATTAAACGATTTGGCCAGTCATCAATGACGGCACGAATCTTTTCTAGCGGAATGCACTATGTTTCTCGAAAAAGGGTTCGCTGCAGTGACTACAAGTTTAGGTGGGTCTTTCGGTAGGCCCTGAGCTCTTATTTAGTCTATAAAGAATAATCCAGCGGGTTGAAGTCGGTGCTGGAGGAAATAACGTATCAGACAGGGGTTTCACCAAGGGCTCTCAAATGTCACTCTGATAATTCTTAGCTTTCACCTTGACACCTTGTTGGAAGAAATACAGCGGAGTGACACCTTCATACGAAAGTCCCCACTACTACCACTCCACACACTAGCCGGATGATGAATGCGCGAGACATTCCGTGTAGAAGCTTTGCTATTTTTAGCGTACACTTTATTGTTTTGTCGGTTGAACTTTTCTTCGACAGTAAAAATTTTCTCATCGGTGAAGAGTATCTTCCAGGCATCGTGTCTCCTCAGCAACAATAGACAACGTTCGCGTCGTAACTTACGAAGACGATCGTTTAAAAAGTGAACTTTTCTACGGCTATAGGCCTTTACCTTAAGATCATATATCATATTCTGTTCACTGAGACGCTCGAAATATTAATCTGCTTAGCGAGTTTCTTTTGAGTGCGACATGGATTTCGGCGAAGCCGCTCTCTGATGATTTTGATGTTCGTAGGCGTGCTCACAGAGCGTGGCCGACCGCTTCTTAGGCGATTTTGCAGAGAACTTGTCTCTTTGTATCGCTGTATTGTGTAATAGACGAAGTTACGGCTTACAGGAAAAATTTTCAGCTTGAATAAAATCTACATAGTTTTTTTTTTCCCACCTTAAATAGCGAAATGACAGTTGCACGTAATTGTTTCATTTCCTCCATCACGAAAAAATATGAACAAATTAATTTGCGATACATATAAACTAAAAGTGAAATTTGCAAATTCAAAATCGGCAAAAAGAAATATTGTTTCAGTTTTGTCTCAAAACTTTTTAACACACAAGGTAAGAACACTTTTACTACTTCTAAAAGCAGGTTGTAAGGCGGTGTTTGGACTTTAAATAGAAAATTAAGAATATGTGAATCTGCATACACTACATAAAAAGCTTAACATAAGTTCTTAGACTATTAACTATGAAACTAATCTATCAACAGTAGCAATAGCCCTTACAATGACAGTGTAATATTCCAAAGTCCCATCAATATCTGGATCTAAATCTTCAGGTGCTGAAATGTTGTAATGAAGTCATTACTGAGGAAGAAAACTGATACTTGCATCCTCAGACCAAATAAAAAGTATAGACGGAGTTTTGCCTAACAGAAAAGTGAAGCCGACAAAACTACGCCTCGGCGTATTCGTACACAGTTTCACGCACATATACACAATGAAACTCTGCCTTCCTTATCAGTTTAACTATAGACAGTGTGCGGAACGTTTCATTATAAAAAAAAACAAAAATTTCTTTACTAACTGTCGAATTGTGTAGTAAAAGGTTGTAAAAACCAATCCTCAAAAAATAAAAAGCAGGATGGAATCACATTTCACACATAAGTATTGGAGAAAACTGACATTTTTAGTAATTTAAAAATAAAATTAAAGTAATTGCTTGGAACACATAACTTCATCCAAATATTACCATCATTGAACGTTATTATTTACCCCAAAACTAAGTAGGTACTTTAATTTTATAACGCGTTATTTCTAACAAAACACAAATTACGTTATGTATTTTTTTCTTGTTGTATGGAAATGATATTTATAATAAATTTTGCATTCATAATGCTACATAGAGGTCCAGATCACAGATATTGAAGTGTTAAAATAAGGAAGTAAAAAATAAAAAACGGGTTTAATTTTTTACTTCTTTATTTTTACTAAACGGGTTTGCATACCTTTCTTCATTTCCAAAACGACATCAAAATGTGAAAGAGAAGTAGATTTCAGTCATTCCTAATAGTCGAAATGAACCTTCATGGAATCCAACTTCGCGCAACGTAGTTTGTTCGACTCATTTTAAGAGCGATTATATGTATTATACTATAAAAGGGTTACGTTGAATAAAGCAAAACTCATATCCAAAGGTTTCAAACTTTCTATAATTAAAATTCTAGTTAACATAGTGGAAGTTTTCAAACTTAACTTAAAAATAAACTTAAATTAAGTAGTCTCTCTAATGTATGGCCTCCAATAATAATTACCTACTCTTAAAGATTTTAGAATATCTATGCTGATATTGACAAACGAATTTACATTATATTATTAAATAGCAAAGCGTTAACGTTAACTCTATAACGTCGTAACGTACGCACACTACAATTGCTAAAAATCGGCTTCACTTTGTTATTCAGCGAACTCCGTCTTTACTTTTTATTTGGTCTGAGCTTGCATCAGATTATCCTTAGTTTAAAGAGATACCAAAAATGTAATGATCGACAAACGCCCGAAGACTACTTACGAGGTGGGAAAGAATATTTTTCGTCAGGAAGAGAAGGCTTTTCTTCTTCCTCTACATGCTCCAGTTGGTACGTACTCTTAGGTTCCACCTCGTCATCTTGTATATCTGCTGCTGCCGTTTCGATGTCTTCTAATAATTTAATTTAATTTAAAGTCAAACGATTTTTGAAAAATTGAATAATATTATTATTATAATTTATCCACCTTATAGGGCAAAGGTTAAGCGGTGTTATATTAGGGTAAATATAAAACCTACTAACATCTAAAACAAATAGCTGAAGTAAAATAATTCAATTAAAACCAATTTTACATTACATTATTATTATTTTGGTATTACAATCAGAATTTATAAGATAGTAATATAGTAATATCATAAGCACGCACTCAACTCCGCCCGCGCGTATATTAAAAATAACCCAAAAACAAACAAAATCTTCCATAACAAAAGAGAAAGAAGCGTATGTGATAGGTAGTGATAGAGGCGAAAAAGCGAGATGGGGCAAAAATATGCGATCGTCGCGCCGTCCGTCCGGTAGAGAAATTCTTCTCCTAAACCACTGAAACCGTAAAGGGTGCGTCCTTGACGTTTCAGGGCGTAGACGACGTCCATTGTGGTGATGGTATTTTTTTGGAGTATTCAGTGTACGTAACGGCGTCGCGCATCACTTTATTCTGGTAGTAATAAAACTGAATAAAAGTACCACAAAGTCATTCTTATTATTATTGTTTATGGCAAAATCTATTTTATTTTCATCTAAGTATATGATGAAAATAAAATTTTGAATTGCACAATATGTTAACTGTCAAAAGATAATTCTTATTTTGACTGTCATAATTATGTGTAGTTTAGATGTTGTTGAATCTGGTTATTTTGTATAGTTTAAACTTAATTCCTTCTTTTTTTGTTTTTATTATGTAAAATAAACATATAAGAACTATAGCTAACCTTCTTCCATGTCCATATCTGTAAATAAAAAAGAATAATGATACTTTATCAAAAATAACTATTTGTTAAAAAAGTAGTACTTTGCTTTTTATCTCACTTACGCCCTGCATTATAAAGATAGGTTAAGCCTAACGCAAAGTCAGTTCCTACTCAAAGAAGTTGACTGTAAGCCACAGTGTGAGCATGAAACTAAGTATTCGGCGCAGATAAAACGTAAATTCCATCATGAATAACATATCATAGATATACTTGTCAGTTCTACATTCTACCATCCATAAAACGTGACGCATTCTTCGTCAGAAATGCACCGGTGTGAGCAAAACTGTGGCGACATCTATCTCACGGCAATAGCATCGTCACACTAGTCAACGGCAAGACGGAACGGAAGAAGCTTCAAATTACATCGAATAGTCACGAGATTGCGCCACGTTACCTGCATCGCGCTGACTAAGTCTTGCCGCGACATAAAATATATACAATTTCTAACCTAAACAGATTCGGTCGAAGTCTCAGTCTAACAACACCCAATCCATCTTTGGCTCAACCCTTTGGCTAACTAAACGTTTGGCTTGAACATAAGTTCAAACACAGAATCGTAAATATTATTCTGTGTGTTTTGGTTATTGATTCCATGTCTTCTTATGATTTGAAGATTTTATAATCAATATCATTATAATCAAATATAATTTATTCCGATAAATTAAAATTGTATAGAAAGCAATTATGTAATTTGAAAATTAATTTGTCAGTGCATAGTTCTTGTACTAAGAACTGTAAAATACCCACAAAAATTAAATACTATTTACTATAGTCACAATCTCATTTTGGCTGGGATTCATAAACCTCCTTTATCCCCAAAATCGTTTTCGTTTATGTCGACTCAGAAAAACTTATTTAGCTCACAAGGGGGTGAGGAGTAGCTCGGTGGCGTAGAGGATAAGTGCCGCGGCCCGCGATCATTGCTACTAAGCAACTTCGCAAGGGTTGGTCACAGAATGGGTGACCAAAAAAAAAATATTATCTCGAGCTACTCCTTGTTTAAAAACACGTTAGAAAGGCACATCAAGCCGTTGGTCCCGGCTGCATTTACAGTCGTTAATATTCTCCAATCCGCATTGGGCCAGCGTGAAGGGTCATGGCCCATCCTCCTTAACCATCTGTAAAGAAGACCTGAGTACATGCAGTGGGGACGTAAAAGGTCTGATGACTATCAGATGATGATGATGATGATGGGTTGATATCACTTTGGGGCTTCCTTATATAAAAGACACCCTTTTTTACAATGGTGCATAATCCTGAATTGTTTTTACTACTATTTAGAAATGTCCCATTCTTCGATAAGTAGTAGTACTCATTTTTGCATCATTATCATCATAATTTATATCATTATCATTATGTAATTATATTTATTATGCTGTATATTAAAGATAATATCAAAATCAAATTACCTTTCATACTTTTCATGCTTTTCATACTCTTCATGCTCTTCATACTTTTCATACTTTTAGCAGACTTTTTTGAAAGGTCTTCTTCTGGTTCAGGTTCAGCACCAGCAGCTTTCTTTTTCTTTTTTTTCTTTTCTTTTGGTGGTGGAGGGGGTGGTGGTGGAATGATTCCTGCGAAATTAAACAGAAGAAAATACATAATTTCATTACATATGACTTTTTATCATATTATTTTTGTAGTGTCCCTACATAAACTTTGTAGAGGACAAGACTAGGAACTTCATAAGTTATTTATAATATCTGCATTGGATGAAATTACAGAATATTTGTTTGTATCACACAAACTGAAAAAGATTTATCAAAAACAGTGCTTAGCAAAGTGTGCTAACAGAAGCATAGAGCTCTGCAAAGTATATGTAGGAATACTACAAAAATATTTGTCATCTATCATCTCAATGTATGTTATTCATTCATTACTTATCCAACACTATTTACTTCATAATCTTTTCTTGAGATAAATTATGTAGGTTTTAAAGTCATTCTGTGGATAATGGTGCTTGTTGAGCAAGTTATTATTCATCTCTAAAAAAAGTACACATAAAACTAGATTTTATCTAATTATAGATCTGGTCTCAAAAAGTGTTCCATCACTGAGAAGCAGTGATATTAACTAATGGTGCCAATTCTGTTGTAACTACTAACCTAATGTGTCTAATATGAGTTTGTTTTTACATTATTCTATAGACACATGTATGTAATCAAAGTAAAACAATTTTAGTCCTGTTCATTATAATATAACAATTCAAACAAGAAATATGCTTTAATACTGTGGAGTATTGCAACTGTTATTGTAAACATAATAAGTTTTTATAATTGGTGTCAATGCTGCATATTTCTTTTGTATTGAAATAACAAAACTGCTGTTGAAACTTTGTTAAATGAATAAATAAGTAATCTATTTATATGGACTACATAATTGTAATGTATCACACACAAACCCAAGTGGTTTAAGCTACCTTTTTGTGAAACAATAAGAATTCATACATACTCCATTCTGTAAACTCCTTATCTTCATGAATCAGTTTATCAACAATGATCTTAGTTACATAAAAAGTTTTTTTATCTAGTGATAACTCATTTTCTTTTAATGGCACTGAAAGAAAAGTTGTTATCTTTTGTTTGGCTTCAGTGGTTCCAAACATGTTATAAAATAATTCTTCATCATAAATGCCAACATATGCGAGAATTTTTTCCTTCAGCCATTGAACTCGAGGGTCTTGCGTTAAATTCAATTCAGGTTCACCATCTTCAATGAACGACTGGTAGTCAGAAATTGTGTCCATTCTGAAAGAATTATTAATTTGTGATATGAATGTTAATAAAATATCTTTACTCAGAACTGTCATATTAATATGGACATTAATATGGATAGACTTAGGACACTGTAATCAAATACTAACTACAATATTACACCTTAATTCTGAGTTGAAAATATATATTAATTATAATAATTAATCTCTTATATAATGAACTAATAAAAATTGAAAGCCATCACTTGCATATTATTATTTTTTGCATATCACAATGAATAATCTGGTCTGAATCTGTGCCTATCTGCTCATCATTCAATCTTGATTCCAATCAAATCCAAATCAAATGGATTTCTTGTAATCAATTAACAAAATTACTGGACTTTACCTTTATAGTTGACTCATTACAAAAATCTATTGCTTTATTACTTTCTTTGACTATATGCAATTCTAAAAATCTTAAATGAAATTTTCTGAGAGCGTTATCCATCACAATCATCGTAATTTAGTATTACATTATTTACATACCTGTCTCTTCAAGATTTAGACTGCTTTTTCCACTATATTGAGTTATATCATTTTCAGGTTAGGCGTTTTAGAGTAAATATAATTAGTTAATTCAATAAGTTAGCCGTATCCAAGTACAACGCACGTACGCAGAACGCACTTACAATGGAAAACAACTGAGTTTATTTTGTAAACAAAAAATAACAATCGGATGGCATGGCAACGGTACCGGAAGATAATTGACAAGACATTTCAGACATTGATTTGAATTTTTGCGCCTATTCAGTATTCTTCGTATAGACGCAAAGGGGTCTGACCCCTACTTACACTCATATTTACATTATATGTTTTGTCAATATATAAAAAAATTAATTACCCCCTAGACGACCCCTGAAGAAGACCCCTAGTTTTGTTGAGTGAATCCTACTATAGGAAAAATCTCCGTGCTCCAAAATTTATTTGGAACATACATTTTGAAAAAATTGATAACGTTTAAAAATTATAATTTTATTTTTCAGGTATAAGTGTAACTATATAGCCATCCCCTTTTAGCTTTCACAATTTAATTACTGCATAGAATTTACTTTAGAACATGTTTATTGTTTTCGATAAATATGGTTGATAAACATTTTTGGAGTTTTTGAGTTTATTTCTACATCACCTACTTTATTTTGTTTTACTTCTAATCCTACCCATTAATTTTGGTAATCCCGATTAACTGACAGTTAATTATTTGGCTGACCTTTATTCAGCCGTATCTTAGATCGTTGCGTAGGAATTTAAATGAATATGGCAACTGTTTTTTTATATTCCTATCTCAGTCCAGTGTTCTTTATCAATTTTTGAGTTTGTCATGGATAAACAAGTGAAAATGCAGTACTACAGTACAGTAGTACCCATATATTTCACCATTTAACTGGTTACATAATTTTTTACTTGCATAAGTCATTATTGTACCCCACCTAATAACTGGCCGTTCTAGGCCTGGGCCTATCCCATTATTTGGGATTGGGTCTCCTCGTATATTTGCGCCAGGCGATTCTGTCATGGGTTTTCTCTATAGGCACTTGTCATTTTTTGTTGGTCCTCGGCCTTTTTTGTTGTCAGGAAGGTCCAGTGCAGTTTGCACATGATCGTTTTCGCGTCGCATTACGTGGCCAAACCATCTGAGGCGAACTTCAGTCTTTTTATCTGTTATTTGGTCACTTTGGAAGTATCCCTAATAAATCTGTTCTCAATTTTATTAATTCTAGTGACACCTCCAGCCTAACTCAGCATCTTCATTTCATTTACATGCAACTTATTCTCGTGTCTTTTTCGCTGCCCAGTACTCGGATCAGTACTCCTACTGAAGGATGGTTTTCCTATTACTCCTATTATTTATAATTCAGCCCTCGTATGTATATCTCATATGGCTCATATAGAGTCGCATTCCCTTGACTAGTTGCACTGCATACAGATGCAGACGTTTCACTATATAGTGATATTTCGCATTATCTCAATGATAGATCTATCTAAGTACACCCATAATAGCCAAAAATTTACAATGACATTTCTTTGCGAAAAAGTGCAGTATACTAACGTTACGAAGAAGTTTTGCTTTCAAAATTAATTTCACAGGGTTTAGCTTACGCACTCAAATGCGTCGGTTAATTATGGGCGTAAATATAAAATGGCTTTGTATTATTACGTTTAATTCTTGTAAAACTTATACTGCACATGTTCCATGAACTGTATGAGCGTCATCGTAACATTACTTAAAGTAAAAAACTTGTAGGAAAGTACTTCCGCCATTTACTAGGTTCTTAGATATGAAATTGGCGTTTTGTCTTAATGGTTTTTTTTAATAAGGGGATCAATGAACTACCTATGAGATGGCAAAAGTGCGTAGATAACAATGGTTTATACTTTGATTAAATAAATAGACTCGTATTATATTAAAAAATATTCGAGTTGTTCCTCCCATACCAAACACCAATTTCATATGTCAGGACCTAATATTATCAGTCAAATTCATAAGCATAATTGAGTCATTTTAGTGTCTAAATATCAGAATGCGGGTAATACATGGTCAATCACGTAAGTAAATCTAAGGGGGCTCGTCAAATCGTCTTTTTTATTCTTAAATTTATACTATTTATTAAAAATGATATTTATTAATCTGGAAATATAAATTACACAAATTATATTTACATGAAGCTATAATTTATTAAAATCTGCCCCACAATAGGGACATTTGAAACCTCTTGAAAAAATATCAGGGAAAACTAAATATACGTTTATAAATACAATAATTAAAAACAAGCCCCAATTCGATCCTGCCCCCTCTTCCTTAAGCCAGGTAACTGAAGCCGCTGGCAGCTGAAAGGTAATAATGAAATTGGTAAATGACAATAAAGTCATATTTATTTTTCTTGAAACTTTGTTCATGTATTATGTGAGGGAAAAATAAAATTTTCTAAAACAATACATTACTTTATTTGGTAGTATATCATTGTTATATTATTCATGACATGATACAATATTTACAGTCTATTCATGGAAAACTTAACATTAAATTAATAAGTCAATATTTGAGCTAGCCTTGATACTTACATTTTAGGTATTTACGAAATAAATTACCAATTAAAATAAGTCCTATATTAAACGTAAATGTTAAAACGTGAACTGAGGCCTTGGATTTATTCTAGGGTAACCATTGTCATTGCTTTCCAGTTCTAATTTGGAATTCAAATTAGGGTTCGTTACTAATTTCCCAATAGAAGCTTGAGGAGCCGAATATGAAGATGGACCTGCATATAAGTTACTCACTTCAGTGTTCCCTTTGTTTATTAATCTGGTTGGAAGTGTGTGATCAACAGAATAGTTTACATCAGAAGTGAGAGTAGGTTGATTCGAACCAATTAAATTACCCTTCTGTTTTGGAATTCCATTTTCATCAATATGGAAAGCATTGAATAGTTTTTGCTGTTCTTTTTCATCTTCTAATTGATAACTTACTGAAGGGATTAATTGAAAAGTTACACCATTTGGTAAATTGTTCTCTTGTATTAGTCTTGCATTTTGCTGTCGAGCAGCGTTATTCGATTGCTGATTATTGCCATTAGTTTGGATATTAGTCGCAAAATTGTTATTTAATTTAGTATACACGTAGTACGATTCATCTTTTTTATAAGTTACAAGTTTGTTGTCTTGTAATGGATGTGGTATTGTACCTACAATTTTATCTTGCAGGTGAGCTGATATACCATTATTACTACTTATAAATTTACTAAAATTTTCTTGACTATTAAAAGAATCAACTTCGCTCGTAGGTGTTGCTTGCAATCTAGCTGCTGGTGGTACGGGTATTGACTCAGATTTGATTATTTCCACATCAGCGTTGGATTTACCTCCATTATGTAGCTGAGAGTTAAAATTTTGATTGTAAATTTGTTTAGTAACATCTGGTACGGGAAGTTGGTATAACTGCCCACTGTAAGTTTGTTTAGAGTCAGTTTGAACATTTTCTCTATTTCGATGTAGTGTTGATTGTGGTTGATTTTCATTAGATACTCTTGAAGGATTCGAATTGTATTTGTTTACTTGAAGCTGTGGAACTTGATTTTGTGAATGTTGGTTTTGAGATGAATCGATGTAATGGTTTCTGTTATTGTTGGTTGTTGAAATTATTTTGGCACTTTTGTATTTATCTTGGTTATGTGAATATTGTGATGAAGTAAGTTCTGAAATTTTGTCAGTGATTTGGGTCAATTCTTCATTGTTTATGTTCTTAAATTGTGTCTGTATTGGTGATGATTCGATTGTGTCTTTTTGGGCGTTGTTGTATTCTTTTGCTACGTTGATGGAATCAGCCAGCAAGTTAAACACTAAAGCCTGTGAAGTAGAAATATTTGACTGTTTATCAGTTACTAATTTACCTATAGGAATAAAATTAGTATTACTTTTTTTGTTAACATTATTATTTGTTAGTACTAAGTAGTTGCTGCTTCCTGTGTTAAGTATTTCTAGTTTATCAAAATCACTTTCGTTGTGTTTTTTGAATAAATAAGTAGCGATTTTTTCAGGAATAGATATTTTCAATGAAACTGTTCTTTCTATAGTAGGAGCGAAAGGTTCTTTGAAAAATGGTAAATTAGAAATTTGATTAGATTGTTGGTGTTCGTTTTCATTACTATTGGATGGTTCCTCTGGAGGTTCAAGATCTGTAGAAGGACTTGATATTAAACGCGAGCTTTTAGGATTCGCTGTTGTGGGGGGAGTTATTGAAGTTAAGCTTTCACCACTGTCAGTTTTGGTTTCAGGTGGTAAGTAGTTTTCTTCTGGATAATTAATAGAGTTTAAATCCTTTATTTGTTCAAAATATTCAGGGCTTGCTGTATTTAAATATTTACTAGTATCTTTAACAATATCCTCAACTGTTAGGTCAAGTTTTTCTTTTGTTAATATATCCGTAAAAGATAAATCATTACGAACAGGGCTAAGCGAGGATGCTTGTAAACGAGATAAGGTGGGTTTACTATTAGGTAAAACATATGTTGGTTGCGGAGTAGTCGGTGCTCCTCGCAACTGGTCACTTTCATATTCCACTGTTTGTAATGGTGCTAGATATTGCCTTGACAAAAACACTGTATTGTCCTCAGGTGGCAAGTATAACCTAGACGATGGATTGTATGTTGTCGGAGCAAGATAAAGTCGGGAAGCTTGTGTGGGTGGCATTGAAATAGGGGAAAGATATAGACGTGACAAAATGGGCCTGGGTGTGGTAGAAGTTGAACTGAACAATTGTTTTGCTGATTTAGGTTTATTGTAAGTGTATGGTTGGTCGAGTTCTGTGATTAATTTTTCAGATACCGTTGGGCGATTATATACATAGGGAGTAGTATCTCTTAGTTTCTGTGTAGGGGGTTGGGTTAGTCTGTTATATACATATGGAGTGGTGTTTCTTAATTTCTGCATTGGAGGTTGGGTTGGTCTATTATATACATAGGGAGTTGCATCTCTTAGTTTCTGTTTAGGAGATTGGGTTGGTTTATCATAAGTGTAGGGTGTGGAGTTTATTAATTTAGCTGATTTAGAAGGTTTAACGATCCATGTTTTTACTGTTATACGTGATTTTGGAATACCGTGTTTAGGGTCTGGAATGATTCTTTTTAAAGTTAGTGTTTTTGTAATGACAGTAGAAGGAACTTCATTTTCACTTACCAAATTTTGTTTAGCTTCAGAACCACTTTTACCATTTATTTCATCCGAAAACTGTAATTGCGGTTGACTGTATGTGTATGGTTGATTTTCCTGTTTTGCATTATATTGTTGTTTGAAATAGGCTCTATCAAATTGAGATTGTTTTTCATTAACCAATCTAGAGGCACCATTATTGTTTTTATACTGAGAAATCTGCTGATTAAGTTGACCACTATCAGTATTTGTAGTGTAATGTATATTTGCTGTTTGAGTTGGTCTTATGTTACTGACTTGTTTCTGCCCATATTGTATATTTGCATTACTGTAACTTTGTGTAGGTTGAGTAAATTGAAAATTGGCATTATGATACGTTTGAGTAAATTGCCCTGCATGAGTGTTGGAAGGAATTGATGCTTTTTGCCTTATTTGCTCATTTTGTGGTATAATGTTTTGAGTGTATTGCCCATTTTGTCTTTGTTTTTGGAATAATTCAGTATCTCTTATTGTCGATTGTTGTATTGAATTGAATGCTGCAGGTAAATATCGAGGATTAGGTGTAGATGCTGTATATTCTATATCATTTATATTATAACCTTGACTTGTAAATTGTGATTGCTTAGCAGGAATATATACATTGTTAGGGGTTCTTTCTGGTCCTGCAATCAATGCTTCGTTGGGGAAAAGTTGACCATAAGGTGGCTTATACTCTTGCATCACAATAAGATTACCCTTCATTGCATTTTTATCGTAGGGATTGAGCATGGGATGTGTTAACATTTTCTTGACATCTTTCATTAGCTGAGGTCCCAATCTGAGGTTTCCAAATTTTTCATTATTATTATTGAATAGTTCTTCAGATGTCTTGCAATTGACGTTCATCCACCAGTCACATACGAATACTGCCTGATTGAATAGTGTGCCGTTGGGACAAAGAAACGATTGAAAACCATAAGTTGAGCCCAATGTGCAGACTCTGAAGACTTGACAACTTGTTTCCAAGTCTGCATAATAACCTGAAATACATTTCAGACAATAAACAACTGCTAAAATAGTTTTCTTTACAAATATGATATAATTTCCGAATTCTAATTAACTGCAGAAATAACATTCAAATGTTTAAAAAATCCACTTTGTACCTGGCACTCTGAGATGGGTCTCGAACCCTTGACCTTTCACAATTCCTAGGGAATTTTTTAAAGTATTTTTCGTTTTTGAATATTTTTCAGTATAGTATTGATCCAAAATTGATCAAATATAATGATCGATTCATATATAATCAGTTGTTATAAAGGAAGTGAATCGGTGATTTGTGACATACGAGGGTCAAACTGAAAGTTCTTAGAAAATCAAAAACTGATTACATTAGCCAGTTATTAGTTTTATTATATCTTTTCAAAATATTGTCCATTCACGTCAATACACCGCTGCATGCGATGGAACCACTGGGAAAAGCACTTTGCCCACTCGTCCTTAGGGGTCTCTTCAATGGCATCGCGATACGCAGCCACCGCTTCTTCAGCATTCATAAACCGCTTTCCTTTAAGTTTTTCTTAAATTTTTTGAAATAAATAAAAATCACAAGGCGCGAGGTCGGGGCTATACGGCGGGTGACCCAGTAATTCAACGTTTGATGTCGCCAAATAGTCGATCGTTCGCTTGGCGGTGTGCGACGAGGCGTTGTCGTGGTGAAGGAGGAATCCTACTGCGAGGTCGTTTCTCTCGAACTTTTTCCAAGACAAGTGGCAAACAATTGGTAGTGTACCATTCTGCAGAAACTGTTTTTTGATCCTCTAACACAATTGTTGCAAAATGACCTATCCTTCCAAAGAACGAGGCCACCATTTTTTTTCCCGCACTTCGATCTCTCTTCACTTTAGTTGGCAACTCCTCGAAAGGAAACACCCACTGAGCAGATTGTCTTTTGGTTTTAGGATCATAACAGTAAATCCAGCTTTCGTCACCTGTTAGTATGTCGAACACAGCATTTGAGTCACCTCCGTTAAATCTTTCAATCATTTTACGACACCAATCCACACGATGGAGTTTTTGAGCCTCAGTCAAATTTTGAGGTATCCACCGGGCGCAAAGCTTCCTGACCGCTAAATGTTCGTGGAGGATTTTGTGCACTTGACTCATACCGATGCCTAAGCTTGTCCGAATCTGTTGATAGGTCACTCTTTTGTCAGTCTCTATCATACGCCGCACAACACAGATGTTATCTTCAGTCGTCGCCGTAGAAGGCCGTCCCTCACGTAAATCATCAGTGAGATTAGTGCGACCACGTTTAAACTCATTAAACCAGTTGTAAACAGTCGCACGAGATGGGGCTTCATCGTGAAAGGCCAATCGTAGTCTATCATAACTTTCTTGTTGACTTAAATGACATCGAAAGTCATAAAAAATCATTGCACGAAAATTTTCTCGTGTTAAATTCATGATGACGTGACACAGACAATTTTCAATTTGCCGCCAAATCGTAAAACAAATGACAAATGAATGAAATATATACTCAGTAATATTGGCAAAGAGTTATATTTTCAAATTTTAGAATTATTTTTTTATTATATTGTTTATAAGTGGCCAGTTCTAAGAACTTTCAGTTTGACCCTCGTACACCTTGTGGAACAGAATGGCTCCCGGTATTTATTACCTGGTGACTTTCCAGCACAGGAAAACGACGTCCTAGGTATTGCACCATGTGTTGGGTAGTCACTGCCGGGCTCTCCAGGCACAGATAATCTAATGTCCCAACCGTGACCGCCGTGGTCTTGATGGGCAGATGTCCTTTGGTATTGTGCGGAGGTCCAGGATACCGTCAAAGACACTGGAAAGAAACAAACATTTAATTTAAGATGGGGGTTCTAGCAATTATGTCAACCAGAAAAGAAAGAAAATGTACCTACATAATTTTTAAGTTAGGATTCAGGAATTTTTAAATAAAAACTTAATATTTAACCGCAAATTTGGTTAAGTTTTTCGAAGGTAGCATAATCTTTCTGGGATATTTTTTGTGAGATAAAAGTATTTTTATAAATTAAATATTTAGTAACATGAACAATTAACGATTCAAGAATCGTTCAGTTTAAATATGCATGCATTATCTTGCCATCCAGCCATCCATAAATTACGTCACACGTTAGGGGGGGGGGGGGGGGTCGCTTTAAATTAATGAAAATTTTAATGGTACTTTGTGCAACTGTCTGATAGGTGAATAAATATAACTAAAATAGTTATTTTAGAAGGTACTTTATTACTTTTAATCATTAGGTACCTTAGGTAGAATATTATAAGCAACTCTAATATTTATGTAAATATCTAAAAAAAATCTTTGCAATATTTTCTAAATTATTCCATTTCTGCTTCCATTGCTGCAATAGTGCTTCAGTTGATGTTTTTTTATGTAAAGCATAATGTAAGCATATAGATTCAATTTTATTAAAATAAGTGTATCGTTATCATTCGTATAAAAAAAAAGAAAACTACCGCAAATAGGTTCTTCTCATTGAGTTTTAATATAAATGATATTTTAAGATTTTTAAAAACTTAAATTTCTGCTTTCTGATTATAAATATAAAACAGTCATCTAACCATTTTAGAGTATTATCCGACCACAATTTGGTATAAGTACTACATTTAGTAATCATTTTATAATAAGACGCTCATATATTGAATATCTTTTTTAAATTAATATTTACCATTGTACCCATAATAAACGTTCTCAACGCTTAAACTGGCACCAAGACATAGTTTCTTCAACAATAGTATCTACCAGTATGTTGCAAACTATAAGTGCTGTAGAGACAGTTCTCATACAGTTTTTGTACAGCAATAATCAGTAAGCAAAAAGTAAATCAATGACAGTGTTGGATATTTACTGTGTACTATGGTAGTTAATTATAATTAAGTTAAATCTAATAAAATATTGTATTTTCATAATGTTTACGCATTCTACAAATGTAGAACAGTAATAAATTTAACGGAATTTACACAAAAATTATTTGTTATACTTTTAATCTTTACTTTTGATCTTTGGTACACAATCCGGATTTAACTAAACAACGTAGATTCATTTTGTGAAACAATTGATTTCTACATTGATTAGAGACCGATATTTGACATTTAACAGTTTGGAATTTATTACACGTGGTATATTATTAATTAACTAGCTTTCGCCAGCGGCTTCGCCCGCGTGGACCCTAGGGAAATGTTAAGTGGGATAAAAAGTATCCTATTATCTAAGTCAGCTAATACCCTTAATACATTTTTCCAGTTGATTATAAACTCTACCCACAAATATTAAGGTTTAAAATTAAATGGAAAAATTTGATAGGCATGCTTAACCTGACGTCCTGTTGAGTGTACTTATATTACATTTTGTACAAATAAATAGGAAAACTTTTTAGATCGCAAACATAGAATTGAAAATGCTTGAATTTTCTCAAACCGCAAAACAACATTTATTTAAATAAAAAAAAAGTTTAATAGCAAAAGTAATATTAGTAGGTTATTAGATTTCTTTTTACTTTTATAACAAACTAGCCTTCCGCCAGCGGCTTCGCCCGCGTGGTTTAGTTTTAAGTCCAGAAATGAGAAAATTCCATAAAAACTTTCTTCCCCTAATTTACCCCCTTAGGGATTGAATTTTATAAAATCCCGTCTTAGTGAGCACCTACATCCTAAAAAGAACCCGCTTGCAAAGAAACTCCAAGCACACGTAGTTTTTTAGATTTCGTGATGAGTGAGTGACCTTTCGCTTTTATATAGAGGTAATATATAATTTAACGATTAAGCTTTCAAAAAGTTCATTTAAATACAATGTTAAACTTTTATTATAATTTAATTATTTATAAAACTTTTAGCATATGATCTGGAGTGTTAAGCTTAAGCGGGAGTGTAAATTAAATATCATTAACGTTCAATTTATTTTGTACGAAGAAATAAAGATCAAATATAATCAAATAGAGAATGGACCATGACCGCGCACGCTCTGTGCGAAATGGTGACTATAAACGACTGTATATGCAGACGGTACCAACGGCTTATCATGCCTTCCGAAGCACGGAGAAGCTTGAAACCATTCATTTTTGGTCACCCATTCTATAACTGGCCCTTGCGAAACCACCACCACGCCATCGAACGCTTCGTATTATAGGAGTAAAATTATATTTCAAACACACCAAAATAACAATTTGAATGTTTAATTTAGATAAGATACAACAAAATTGGCACCGTTCTAAACATTTATTTTAAAGGTGACTTTAAAAAGTAAGATAGCAATGTTGCCATATCTATTTTATTATATAACATTTCATATTTGTTTTATACAATGCTAATAACAGTAACACTACGATAAATTCCGTGATCGAATGATCACGATCACGATGTCGCCATAGTTAATTAAGGTTTCGATTCACGGGTGGTCCAATGTAACAAACAGATTAACTAAAAAACTATCGAATGGTTATCCATTTAATATTTAAGGGTGTTAAATAAACGGTCAGTTAAGTATTCGTATTTTTCTGGGAAAAAATATAATCAATTATCTAAAATAACTAGTTGGGCAGTAACTTATGATTAGCAAATATTTCTAAATCAGTCTGCAATTTATATGATTCTACACAACAGTTATTTTTATTATAATAATGTATAACAAATAACCTTTAAGTATTATAAAAAGAATTCTTTTATTGAGCATAATCCTTTTTATTCTTTAAATGAATTTTTGACGATACGTATAAGCGAATCTACTTTTATGACATGATGAAATAAGATACTGTTAGATTTTATTTTAGATATTTAGACTTAATAGTAGATATCTATATCTTTACTTTATAATAAATCTGTAGAGAGGTCAATTCTGTACATGAACTATATTTCCA